CCAAGGGCCAGAGTAATTGAAAATACAGCAGCCACCCAAGCAATGGGGACCATGCTGGGGCTTCAGTCATCAGCATCGTCGCTTGAGTCTGAGTTGGCTGGCATCATAGGATCATCAATGAGTGAGAAGTCCCTTTCTGAGCTATCATAGCCCTGAGATAAATCATCATCATCATCTTCATCCTCATCGTCCTCGTCCTCCTCAGGTTGCAGTGGTGGCAACCTCAAGGCAGTACCAGAGGTGGTAGTGGCTGGTGAAGAAGGGTAGCCAGTGGCTCTCAGGCCTGGATGGTGATGGTGGTGATGGTGGGGGTGGGGGTGGTGGTGGTGGTGATGAAGCATGGTGCTGGAGTCTACATGAGGGGATGATGCTGCACCACCCATCACAAACGGCACAAAAGGCAAAGATGCAGAAGTGGCACTGCTGTGGCCCAGGGAAGACACAGACTGCAGGCCACTACTGCTGTGTTGGAAGGTATTATGCAGAGAGAGGGACCCAGTGCCTCCGCCCTGCATCAGGGCCATCATTTTTGAAAGGTCTGGTCGCATCCTACGGGCCCGCTTCTTGCCGCTGTCTGGCGCAATAGGCCCTGGCAAAACCCGATTGAACACAGTTTCAGCATGGTGACCCTAGGAGGGAGCAGAAGACAGTAAAAACAAAGGAATCTGAGCAAACTAGAAGTCAACAGAATCCTAGCTTACAAGTGCTTTTTCACTATCTTCCGGAGGGGCAAAGGAAGCATAGTCAGACGAGGCCAGATGGTAACAGGAGGAGGAAATGCATGTAGCTGCTTGAAGGCTATTGAAGCTAAAATCAAGGAATTGATACTGATACTTCTATGAAACCAGAGTTTTGCTTCTTTTCCATGACTGTTGTACCTCCATCTAACCATTTCCCAGACGCTTACCTTTGTTAATAAGGAGCTTAAGCCAGTGAGTGAATCAGTATTTGCACTGTATACTTTACTGACAGCAGGTTGTTCACATGATTTTACCATGTGAAGTGCAGCATGACTATACTGACATTTACAAACTATTACTCATTAGCACAGCTGGCTGTGGTAAACTAAGGACAGGTCAAGACTCCCGAATGTCTAAAACAACAAAAAGATTGTGGGTAGCTCCTCACGAAATTTAATAAAATGTTTTTCACATTGATAAAAAAAAACCAAATGGTTGAATTTTAAGTTGCTTCTAGATGTTCTGGCTGTAAAATTTTTTTATTTTATTTTTATTTTTTAGAGAGAGAACGCAAGCAAGCCGGGAAGGGGAGAGGGAGAGAGAGAAAATCTCAAGCAGGCTCCATGCCCAGCATGAGCCCAACATCATGACCTGAACTGAAATCAAGAGTTGGACACTTAAGTGACTGAGCCACCCAGGTGCCCCCGGATGTTCTGACCGTAAATTTTGATTAAATACACTGAAGCTGGAACTTATTAATTCTAGTGCCTCTGACTGGTACACTGGGATCAAACTCAGTTAGTATCTGTGTCTCTGGATTCTATTTACCAATCTAAGCCTAACACCTGACATAGGAATATACCTTTATAATTAGGAAAAATAAATATCTCGATACTCTGTATTTGTATGCAAACTTTTAAAATATAACGATAATAGCATTTAAACTCCTGCAGGTACCAGTAATAGCACACCATTAATTCTGTCTGCATTAAGAATTCTGTACTGAGGTGACTGGGTGGCACAAGTCAGTAAAGCATCTGACTCTTGGTGTTGGCTTAGGTCGAGATCTCAGGATCATGAGATCGAGCCCCATGATGGGCTCTGTGCTCAGCAGGGAGTCTGCTTGAGAGTCTTTCCCCTTTTGCTCTTCCCTCAGCTCACACACTCCCTCTCTCTCAAATAAATTCTTTTTTTTTTAAGATTTTATTTATTTATTTATGAGAGATACAGAAAGAGAGGCAGAGAGAGAGAGAAGCAGGCTCCATGCAGGGAGCCTGACGTGGGACTTGATCTTGGGTCTCTAGGATCACACCCTGGGCCGAAGGCAGGCACCAAACCACTGAGCCACCGAGGCATCCCATCAAAGAAATAAATACTTAAAAAAAAAAAATTCTGTACTAGTCATGATTTTCTGTGATTCCCAGTGATCTTTTCTTTCTTAGATTTATCAACTGACTCTAAAGAAGTAGCAAAATACTTGAAGAAAAATAGATAATATGGGAGAAAAACACTGAAGAAGCAGCTTTTTTATAGGCTGTTCTATAACATTAAATTCAAGACAGAGAAGGTACCAGCCTTCCAACCACCAGCCTCCCATATCAACCACTCTCCTTATTACACTTTTGGTCCCATGGAAGGCTATGAGAAAAAGTTAAAATATTCTTCTATAGGGCACCTGGGTGGCTCAGTGGTTGAGCGTCTGCCTTTGGCTCAGGTGGTGATCCCAGGGTCCTGGGGTAGAGTCCCGCATTGGGCTCCTCACAGGGAGCCTGCTTCTCCCTCTGCCTGTGTGTCTGCCTTTCTGTGTCTCTCATGAATAAAACAAAACAAAACAAAACAAAAAAAACTCTTCTATGGTAACAATATTTATATGAAACCACTTTCACCAGGCAGCCCGGGTGGCTCAGTGGTGTAGCGCTGCCTTTGGCCCAGGGTGTGATCCTGGAGACCTGGGATCAAGTCCTGCATCAGGCTCCCTGCATGGAGCCTGCTTCTCCCTCTGCCTGTGTCTCTGCCCCGCCCCCGCCATGAATTAAAACAAACAAAAAACCCCACTCTCACCAATATAAAAATAATAAGCCTCATAAATGCACCTCACAAATAACTATATTTGCAAAATATAGTGCAAAATAATGATCTCAATTTCTTATATGTAGAAAATGCCGTTCATTTGGAAATTTTGTTAAAAGACTACAATGTAGTTTTACATATATATTACATATTATGTATAAAGAGGTCTATAACAGATCCAATGGCAGATGATAAGTGCTAATCATTTTAAACAATTGCTTGCCAAACAAACCATGATTTAATATGTTTAAAAAATACAACTGACCGAAGTAAGGCAAACATGGCAGAGAGAAATTTTCACTCTCCGATTTTGGTAGAAAATCTACCAAATGGCCTATAACAGGGATAAAAGCATAAGTACATTGGAAAATAATGGAATAACCCAAGTTGTTGTTATAAACTATAAAACAGGTTTCCCGTCCTTTTTCCATTACTGGCAATATCAGCGAATCTCAACTTCTCCCATGTTGGGAAATGCTGTGACTATTGTCTTTGGTAGCCCCAAGTCACTTCTAAAATATATTGAATCGTAACACTTTTAAGAGCTTATCTGCTCCTATATCCTCAACTTTTCAGGATGTGCAAACTGAAAAGGTTAAAGGATTTGCCCAAAATCCCTTAGTCAGTCAGTGGAAGAGGAGAAAGCCTTACTGTCCCAACACATCTTACACATTCACTTTTTAGAATTTTATGCTCTTCTATAGATGACAATGCCAAGGACTGTAAAAATACCAATAAAATTATCCTGGTTTCCTGATTGGTGTACCGAAGATACAGTTTTTCATGCATTGGAAAAGGTTAAAACATGAAATAATTTCTCCAGGCACATCCAGCTTGGGAACAGAGCGGGAATGCCTCAGTCTCACTCACCTTCTTCCCATTCCTAGAGTTAGCCGTCTGTGCTGGTTCCATTCCCAAACAGTTCAGTTCCGCCTTATTATTTTTTTTACATCTCTGCCACTTCTGTTTTCTGCGATCCTCCATATACTGAAATAGAAAACTATGAGTTATCCTGGAAGAATACAAATCTCTGGAGTAATTGTTAAGGTACTAGTGTCTAGTTTGACAAGAAAGGCTGATTGTATGGATAAATAAAAGCTTAGTGCTAGTGGAAAACTGCCAGTTAGCAGATCTCTCCCCCCAAAACTAGGTGGTTATACAACAGTTCAACAGTAAATATTTGCCTACTATTTAGGTTAATGAGTGCTTTAATGTTATTTTATTTTGAGCCTCACAACTACTCTGTGAGTTAGGAAGACTGGGTGGTATTATGGTGGTATCAGGCAGACACAGAAAAAAATTACGGCATGCTTCCTCCCTCTCACACAGCTTACATCCCAAGGGAATGACTTTAAATCTGCTGGATGGAACTGCCACTCACCGCTAGAAATCGGGGATCGACAGCGAACTCTGGATGACCCTGTAACCACATCTCCAGTTCAGCCCGGCGAGGGGCATCCTCACCCACCAGCAAAGTACCATCCACCTTATTGATGACAGGGATCCGGGTTTCCAGGTCCACGTCAAGGTGATTAGGCTCTTCCATGCACTGCACCTCCAGCTGCAAACCCAGAATCCACCCCCATGAGCACATACTCTTCTTTGGGGCAGGGAGGGAGGGGGAGCAGAGCCAATGGTAGCCATAAAACGATTCTATTATCTTCTAGTCCCTTAATCCCAACTGCCTTCATCAATGAGTGAGAATAAAAATCCTAATCATCACGGTAAAGACTTTCTCTCCCACTCACCTCAACTAGCTTCTTTCTGTTTCCCTTCTTCTTATGAAACAAAGGATGTCCATCTCCCATTACTCCATTAGCCATCAACTTGTGCTTCTGGAATGTTAACTTCAGTCCTTCCTCCTAAAAAGACAACCCACCCACCAAAGATGTCATATGGCACACTTTTTTTTTTAATTTAAAAAAAAACTTTTTTAAAGACTTTATTTATTTATGAGAGACAGAGAGGTAGAGACACAGGTAGAGGGAGAAGCAGACTCCATGCAGGGAGCCTGACGTGGGACTCGATCCCAGATCCCGGGATCACACCCTGAGCCAAAGGCAGACACCCAACTGCTGAGCCACCCAGGCATCCCTGTTTTTAAAGTAAATATTAAGCTCTGGGGATCTTAGGGTAAGGGTCATCCTCTGGCTCAATGATGAGAAGGAAGGCCATCTGACTAAAGGGTAGAAATTAGAAATATATCTAAATTTATATACTTCTAACATAGATTTCATCTCTTGACCTAGTGCCCCTCAGGTGAATGTAAGAGAAGAATTTATCTCAACAACATCCCGTATCTGGTGTCTCAATATTAGCATGGCTACTCATCACAGGGGCAAAATCCTGGTAATTCCGATCACATACCAGTTTAAGCTTTCTTTTAAAAGAAAAAAAAAACCACAAGATTTTCTTGTTGAATACTTGAGGATCAGCTAATAGGGTTTCAACAGGGAAGATGACCAGGAAAAATAAAATTTCACATCTATAAAATAAATAACACTGATATAATTTCACTAAGAATGACTTCTTATTTTTAACTTAATAAGGCCCATAATACCTAGGTATCCTTTTAACAACTTTCCCACAATTTGATTTCAATTTTTAAAAACTAGGTTTCTAGGATCTAGAAATAAGCCACCCAAAAGAAGCCTTATATCAATTAAATTTTCTTCCAAAAATATGGATTCCTTTAATCTAGTCCTTAGGAGATACACAATCCCTTCCTTTACTGCAATGACTTTTCCTCAATGGAGCTTTATAAACTAATTTTTATCCCCTCTTGTTTTTATTTTTACTTATTATTTATTTTTAAAAGATTTTAAGTCATCCCCACACCCAATGTGGGGCTCAAAACTTACAACCCAAATATCAAGAGTTGTGTACTCTACTGACTGAGCCAGTTAGGAAGCCCAATTCCTCTCTCATTGTTAGATTTTATTTATTCATGAAAGACACAGAGAAAGGTAGAGACATAGGCAGAGAGAGAAGCAGGATCCTCAAGGGGAGCCCGATGTAGGATTCGATCCCAGGACCCTGGGATCAGGACCTGAGCTGAAGGCAGACAACCAACCACTGAGCTACCCAGGCGTCCCTCCTCTCTCATTTTTAAAGGTAACTAACCAAATGAATTCAGTATCCTTTTAGTGAAGTAGTTAGCAAAACGAAAGCCTCCTTCCCCACTTCCCAGTGTGTAAATGGTGAGCTTACATCTTTGATCTGAACTGTAAACTCCTTTTCATCCATGCCTCTGCGAAGTTTTGTGAACTGAGCTGCTGCTGTGGTGACTGCAGATACTTCCTCCTCTGCCATGGAAGCTGCGCTGCTACTTCGTGGTGTGGGGACTGGAGAGTCACCATATTCTCCTGGAGTCAATGAGGGACTATCTAGCAAGTGGTTGCCTGGCCCCAAAATTCCTCCTGTTACCATTTCCTGGCTTCGGCGGCTAGAAGGCCACTTCCCTGAGAGTACAGCCTGGCAGACGAGGTCAATACGGTTTATAAGGACACGATCCTGAGTGGGGGGAGAAGAAATGAACACTGGTTTTAGGGCCTGAATACCAGCTATGTGATTCTGTGACAAACAACAGTGCCATCATTAGCAGGATGGGTAAAAAGAGGAGGAGGGAGGTAAATGTATCAGATCCCTAAGTCAACTGGGAAGAGTTGCATGACAAAAAAGTGTGGCACTAGATACAATTAAAGAAAACCAGAACCATCTGTTCCTTGTTCCCGGTTTTTGTTACACTGTTATTTCTAGACCATATTATCCAGGAATGAGGCTGTTACCTTGGGCCACTCAGAAGCTCTTTGTCTTTCTTGTAGCAGCAGAAGCTCAGGGGTCATTTGTTCTCCATCTTCATTTGGGAATCCATCTTGGGACATAGTGAGGGACAGAAGACTCTCTTCATCATAGAGCTTTGAGCGGGACGGGTCAGCACCTAGAGATCATACAAAATGTGAGCAAAGATGGAGAGTGAGGTTATATATAAATGGAATTATATGGGCTTTAAATAAAGGCCCAAAGTATAACAGATCTCTTTCGGTGTTCTATCAAATCAAAGTCCAAATCTCTCCCAGAGGATGCATTTGAAAAAAAAGGTAAAGAGCCTGGTGATGGGGGTGGGGAGTGGGAAATAGGGAAAAGGGCCAACAGCCTGTCACATGCACTCACTTAGCTTTTCTTCCTTCTCGTCCTCACTCTCATCAGTGCTGGAGCTGGAGCTGGATGAGGATGAGGAAGAAGAGGATGATGGTGACAGCTTGCTCAAGTCCAGCTCAGAGTCTGAATCATCCTCATCCTCCAGTTTGACTGGTGGAACATTCCGGGAAACCAGAGGGGTAGTATCAGAGGGGGCTACTCGCATCTCATAGTCTTGTGGGGTTGGTCGGCTCCTGGCCACCACCTCATGCTCTAGTTTTAAAGTCAGACTCTCCAGACTGGGGACCTGGGCAGCTGTCTCCTCAGGTGGCTTTTCAACAGGAGCATCTGGGCGCAGGGGCAGTGGTGAGGCAGTGCGCGAGGTATACTGCTGGTGTAGCAGTGGCGTAGAGCAGCGTGACAGGGATGGAGCTGGTGCTCCTGCCTGATGGTTCTGCATGTAATTCATACGGGCAGCCAGAAAAGAGAAGTCTGGGTCCTGCATGATGTTGCAGTCTGTTTGGCTCACCCCGTGGCGGGCTGCCCCTCGTAGAAGCTCCCCATCATGCCGAACGGGCTCCCACCATTTGGGCAATTCAGGACCTGGAGGCTGACATAACGCTAACCGGTCTTCCAGAAGGGGATGGCATAAAACTTGTTCCCGTAAGCGCCGAAGCAATTCAATACGGTAGAGAGTCCGTGAGGCCCTCTCCTCAGTGATGGGCTCAATGAACAGATTAGGGTCTGGGGGCTCTGCAAGAGACAGGAGTGGAATGAGCCAAGTCAGTTCTGTTGCCATCCAATCCCACTCACCTGAGACTCTCCAGTTTTGCTTACCATCTCCAGCTGCTGGGGGAAGGCGGCACACTTGGCGACACATGGCCACAAAACCATGGAAGTACTTGGTAAGGCTTTCATCCGTTTTTTTGTCCAGTCGGGCAAAAGTACGGAAGCGATCCCAGTGGAACTGCATGGTATCAGGGTCATACTCCACACCAAAGGTAGATACTACGCGATAGAAATCAGTTTGTTCACGCCTTGTCCATCTAAAGGGAAGAAGAATCAGGCAGCAATGATCAGAAAAACACAGGGAAGGGGCACCTGGGTAGGGCTCAGTTGGTTAGGCATCTTGCCTTCAGCTCAAGTTGTGATCCCAGAGTCTTGGGACCGAGCCCTTCATCGGGCTTCCTGCTCAGCGGGGAGCTTGCTTCTCCCTCTATTCCCATACCCCCTTGCTCATGCTTTCTCTCTCTCTCTCAAACAAAATATGTAGGCATATAACTCAGTGAGAATGGCCATAAGAGACCTTCCTAGGAGTTGTGGTTATCCACAAAAGGGAGGTTTTTTGTTGCAGAGGACTTACAAAAGCAAATAAGATGGTCCCTCTGAAGGGAATTCCAAATAAATCCTTCCTAAGATGCTTTTCAATACAGAACCCAGGGACAGCTGTGTGGCTCAGTGGTTGAGCATCTACCTTCAGCTCAAGGCATGATCCTGGGGTCTTGGGATCAAGTCCCGCATCGGGCTTCCCACAGGGAGCCTGCTTCTCCCTCTGCCTGACTCATGAATAAATAAAATCTTACACACACACACACACACACACACATATAAATATATATACATAATGTATGTATGTATCTACATATGTATAGGACCCATAGCCAAAGGCAAGCTTACAGTACAGCTCAAATTCTTTTTTTGTGTGTATGTGTGTGTGTGTGTTCAGCTCAAATTCTCAGCCACACTTTACCGTTGCTGTTTCTCCCGCCGTGCAATTTCTTTTAGCTTGAAGGCTGCCTCACAACGCCGCCGTCTCCGGTCCCCTCGTTCTGCAGCCTCTATCTTCATCTGTTCTCTCTTGTAGCTGCGTTGATAAGCTGTTACTAGTCGCCGAAGCCTAGCTGTCAGAGCAGAGCCTGGAGGCCAGAAGAGATGGCCTGGCTGCTGGGTTACCTGGGCTGTGGAAAGAAACACAGAATGAGTAAGTACAAGAAAGGTAGTATAGATAATACCAGTATTTCAACCCACCCAAAAGCAAAGCTCTTAGAAACCCCAGGAAAGGACAGAATTTAGTAAATAATTCCCCAACCCACCACCCCACACACAAGATTGTACTAGTTGACTAACTTGTAGAAGTTTACCTTCATCTCCATCAATCACTGAGATCTCCTCATCCATCATCATCAAGGGATCACCCTAGAGAAGGAGATCCACCCCACAGGATTGAGGGGGGAGGGAAAGGGGGGGGAAGTTGGCACTCTGAAGTCACTTTCTTATGTGTGTCCTTCTATGGCACGCAAGGATCAAGAAAAATTTCTAATGAACCCTCACAAAAAAATGGAAGCAACCAACTAAAGGAATAAGAAAGCAGAACCTGAAAAAATCAGTTGTTCTTAAGGGCTTGAAAATAAAGGGACTCAGGAATTTAGCAAATAATATACTTTAATATCCAGCTTGGTCCCACCTCCTCCTCCACAAAGCCATCCCTGGTCTCCCCCAGCTGGTGTTAAAAAATCTTTTTCATTAGTACTTTATATTCTCAAATAGTAATTACTTTCCATTTTGTATTATAAATTAAACAATATACATTAGGATCCAGGGAATGGGAGAAAGCTACATTTAAATGAGAATTCCTCACCTCATCATCTTGGTCCTTTGGAGGACCCTGGAGTGGTTTATATTCAGGATCTTCACAATCCTTATCAAAATCAACCCTAAAATTATCCAGAGACATTGGGGAAAACAAAAACAAAAACAAGAATGTATCTTCTTTCACTAAGGGCAATTTAGGATCAATATCTGGCCAAACATAAAAATCCAGCATGGAACAGTGGTTTTCTTTCATGCTCAAAGAAACGGCAGGCCAGGTGGTAAGCTCCAAGTAAGTTAGGTACAAAATCCAACAGGACGAAGAACAGGAAGAAACTGACAAAGTGCCATTCTAAATTACTTCAATCTGAAATGAAACACTTTGGCCAGCATACTTCTTTTCTCTTGATAGTTCTTTATGTTTACCATTCTTCCCTACCTTCCTATTTACTTTTATTGTCACATTTGAATAGTCCATGTTTGGACTTTGCTTGTTTTACTCTGCTCTGTTAGGCAGAAGGATGACATAAATGATTTGCAATAAATAACTGACCCAATTTCCTTTGAGGGCCCTGCACTAAGCAAACTAAAGTTGTGATCATCAAAGAGA